GGGGGGGGGGGGGGGGGGGGGGGGGGGGGGGGGGGGGGGGGGGGGTACAGTGGCGGCTACGGCTTCAGAGAGGGGTCGTGACAAGCCAGTATATCTCTCTTAAATCCGGTTTTCTCTTACACCGGACTGTGAAATGTATGTATTTCTCATGGTCGTGACAGGCCAGTGTGACTCTCTTAAACCGATGCTTCCTCTTCAATAGTCCCTCTTAGACCGTAGCCGCCACTGTACTCTCATGTAAACGAAAGACGCAGTCCATAGACCTCGCATCCCGACAATGCCGGGACGGAGCGATATTTTCGCCGGCCCGGGCTACGCTTCACAAGGATGAACCAGGAAGCTGGTCATCACCCTTGCCCAAGGTCGTGGTGGGGGGAAGGTGAAGGAGGCGGTCTACTAAAAACGTGCAATCAGAGAAGGGGGCACGGTGCTGTCGCTCCGTAAAACAAAAATGACACCTCCGAAAACTTGGGCGTTCGATGCCTTGTCGAGGAGAGAGCAAGACGGAGACAGACATAACGACGAGGAAGGAGGGGGAGTGGAGGGGGGGTGACAAGGCTGACCGGCGGCAACGAGGAAGTACACACACACCGCGGACGAGAAGGTGCTTTTCACGTGTCTCGTCTCTCTGGCTCAGAGTAACGTCAACCAACCTGATGCAAGGAGCCAGTTGCAACGCTCGGTCTACGCTATCAACAGACAGGAGAAACAAAACAAGCACGCCGTGGCACACGAACCTCCCTCCCCGTCCTCTCCAGTCGCGGGGACCCCGCTGTCTAGGAGGCGTGTTTGAGTTGCGTTTTCATGTGTTCCACTACTGTGAAAAGACCGACGTATATCTGTTGGATCAGTCGGTAAACGAGGCCTCCTGCCAAACAGTAGACACCACACACGCACACGCAAACGAATAAAAAAAACGACGCATGTTCAATATGGATCAGTCAAACAATAGATATCACACAACGCACACGGATAAAATGAAAAAAAAAACGCAAAAAAAGACCGACCGATGTTCAATTTGGATCAGTCGGTGAACGAGGAGGCCTGCCTCATGCCGCAAAGCAGAAATCACACAACGCGCACACGCACACGCCAAAACGCACACGCCAAACGCACCTGCCGCTTGCCGATGAGATCTGACGCCTGCCAGAAGGGTATCCTGTAGTACGTCGTGCGGTCGAACTCCATCACCGGCGCCGCCGGTATTGAGAGCAGCTTGGACCTGAGCGCGGCTTTCCTCTCTGGCGTCACCACCTCGAAGAACAGGCCGTGTTCGGGGATGAACTTGCTCATCTCGGCGGGGGAGAGCTCCTCGAGACGGTGCCTGAACAGGGCGGTTTCCTTGACAAGGGGGCAGGGAAGGAGACAGCGAGAGGGAGGAAGGGATGGAGAGACAGAGGGAGAGACAAGGGGAGAGAGGGGCGGAGAGATATAACGAGGCAGACAGACAGAAGGTGGGTTATCGGCGATTTTGATGGTCGATTGGGCCGGGGCAGCAGCGTCAACGCGGCCGCTCAACTTTTGTCTCTATCCAGGCAGGATCGGGACAGTCTTCATGATGTACATCTACCTCTGAACGGACAACCATGGCTACCCAGCAGCCACCATGGCAAGCCCTCTCGGTGCGACTGCTGCTGTCTGAAGGGTAGGTCTGGTGTTGCAATTTTCGTCGAACTGTCTTTTGCTCGGCTGGGCAAAATATCTCTCGGTGGAAAACTTCGAGCGATATTAACTTTCGGATAACCGCAGTTTCAAGAGAAGTGCAAGATGCCGGTGAAGGCACGACTCCTGCCAAACCATTCCAAAAAAAATGCTAGAGGGAGCGCGGTCTGCCTCTGCCCTGCAGGCTGTCTTTGCAGCACCAGCAGCAACCACTTGGCGGTTGAGAAACTGAGCCTCGTTAAACCCAAAATCTAAGAACGTGACCCACGATCTGTGAGTCCGTTCGAGAACTCTGCACGAAAACCAATACAGCGGCCGCCTGTAGTACAACGGTAGGAACTAAGAACCCCAGCCTCATCCGAAACTATTGTTAGAGGCTCTCAAGTGCCGGCACTATGAAACTGTACTGCACTGCCGCGACATATCGTCGAACAACAAGCGCAACCTTATGCGTAAGTACCTGGGTCAAGAACCACCGCCGTAAGTCCTCGCTGCGGCAGTAGGCCAGGCGGAGGATGAAGTGCGAGATGGTGTCCTTACGCTTGTCGGCGCTAGCGCTCTCCTCGTTCAACGTGCTCAGCTTCATGTACTTGTGGAGCGACTCTCTGAGGGCCCTTCTGTAGTCTTCTCCCCGGACGTTTCGTGCCTGTGCGGTGGGGAGGGGGGGGGGG